GCAGTGGTTGAGAGTCCGCCTGCCGATGCAGGGGACACGGGTTCGTGCCCCAGTCTGGGAGGATCCCACATGCCGCGGAGTGGTTGGACCCGTGAGCCATGGCCGCTGGGCCTGCACATCTGGAGCCTGTGCTCCGCAACAGGAGAGGCGACAACAGTGAGGGGCCCGGGCACCATAAAAAAAAAAAAAAAAAAAAAAAAAAAGAAAGAATCTAAAGAAGAAATTAGAAATGTGGCTATCAAGTGAAGACAATTCACTGAGTAGGAATGAAAACCGAGTGGGAAACAGGATGGAAAGCCTTTGTGCAAGATCATATATTTAGAAACAAAAAGAATAGATATGAGAAGCCAGGTTGTAAGTGCTATAAAAAGCTCAGGGACAAAGCTGAGCACTGTCACCCTAAACACGCAGGGAGGGAGCATTGTTATGAATCAACATAGCTATAAGGTTCAATACCGGGAAGACCATACATTTGCTATAGCAGTTAGTAGAAAGGTCCAAAATGAGAAAGCTCAGTTCTGTGTACTTGGGAGGAGCAGCAAGCTTGGTTCCACAGTTAAACCTAAAAAGTAACAAATGTCCCAAATAGTTGAGAACCCCCAAATTCAACATGAAAAAAAATATGTTATAGCACGTATTCATCAAATGTTTATTACTTGAATGAATGACAAATAATTTAATCTAACAATCTTCAAATTGCTTAAAACTATGACAATATTTAGCTTTTCAAATTTCATATGACCTTACTCTTTCTGTGCTCTAGTTTCTAAAAGCCCGATAATTCCTTCTACTTCTCTTCAAAAATTCTTATGCTTACAGTGAATAAACTGGCGGCATTATAAAATTATTTTAGTTCGAATGAAAATGTATATTCCTGCAAGACTTTTCAACCAGTTGCAAATTATCTGAACTGAAACAAATAAAATTATGCATTAAATTTTTATATCACTCTAAAAGTTCATGAACTATATATTCTACCACTCCAGGTTTTACTTAGAAGTTTTTGATTTTATTTGAATCTTACCGTCCATGAGATTTTCTAATGACATGATAGAAATCTTAATATTCAAAAGTGTTTATACTTTTAAAAGGATGGCAGGAACCTGAAACAGACTTTCTACACAAAAGGCCTCTCCCTGTTTCTAACAGGAATATACCACGGTCAGGTTTTATGCTCAGGTCACACAAAGATGGGCTATTACTAGAGAGTTGTTTTATACAGTTGGTATTTTTAATTCTCTATTTTTTGGTTCCAAAACGTAGTCTTCATTTTCATCAGGAAGAGAAGTCTGTAATTTCTTCCAGTTTGAACTCATCCGTCCACTTTTGCAAATCATTTGCTTCATTTATCGTCCATAACTTCGCAAAACACTTTAGTCTTTTCCTGTAGAGAAAATAAAATACTATTTCTTTTATAAATGAAATTGTTAGAGGCCAGTACATCTCATGGAAAGCTATGAAAAGTCTGTAACATTAGACTCACAGGCAAGGTGACTGGGAAGCTGTGGTTGGGAAGCTATGTCAGGAAGCATCAGCCTTCCTGAGAAACAAGTTTTTCAGTGCTGCTATTATAATCAAGAGACCAAAGTTGGTGATCAGCTCTCTTGACTCCGGGGAGGGGAGAGCCCAGCTTCCTCCCTCTTCTAACTCAGCCAGAGGCTATGTGTGCTCACAGGATGAAAAGTAAAATTGATTTAATAATATAATGCAGGCTATGGAAAGAGTAAAATGCCAACATAACAGAGACCTACTTAGGGTCTGAAGAGGGAGTATTTGAGTTCCAATCACTGCTCCAGCACCAAATAGCTGCGTGACCCTGGTTTCCTGGTCAGCTTCCTACCCCCACTTGGCCTCATCTTCCCCAACTATAACATGGGGATGACAGCAGTACCTATCTCACAAGGCTGTCGTAAGGAATGAGTTAATGTATGTAAAGCAATAAGAACAGTTAACTGGCACAGTGTCTAGGCTGCTGCAAAGGACTGACTGCCCAGACTTGCTGGTGCACGCAGCAAGCATTCAATAAATATTAGCTATTACCAAACCCACATGAATGCACTGGATTCAGTTTGCTTTCTTTGATCTCGCCAATGGAATCGATGTGACAGGCACTTTTAGTGAAAAGGAAAAACAATAAATGCAGTGTATCCTGATAAATCATCAGATTCCATCCCAGTGCAACCTCTTTCTATAATTCTGTCTTTTTAAGATAACTTTCTAGATTTCAAAATGTTATATACTAGTCAGAAGAGTTAAAATATTTATAAATAACCTGTGAATTTCACTGCTCTTGCTTTATAGGCTATATAGCAGCAACATGTATAAACTCTCATATTTTATGAACATCTTGCTTATGTATCTTTTGTAGCAAAGTTTTATTCTAGTTTCTTTAGGGAAAAAGAAAAATAAGAAGACAACAAGAGAGGATTTAAATCAGCCCAAAGAACTACGGGCTAAGCTTATTTTTAAACTCTCATAGATGATTACTTTTCTCTCTAGAAAAATTTTATGTTAATCTATTTTGTTACAAATAACTAGAAATAAGCGGTCACTGATTACAACATTTGTTTCTAACTTGGCATTGAGGAAAGGATCCGGAAGAGAATGTCAACAGAGGAAACGACATGTCTTTTATAGTATTCCAGCACTTTGGACCTGGTTCACCAACATTTACCACTGCAGAGTGTGGAGTGCAAGGCAGAACCACAGAGGCAGGAAGAGGAGAAAGAGAAGTTAGTTGCACAACTGTACGTATACAAGTTGGCAAGTGTTTAACTAATATTAGGTGTTAATATTTCAATATTTAAATAGGGGATGATTTCCAGAACTAAAACATATTCTTACAGTATAGTGGTCAGCCAAGATGTTCTATTGGACTAACAGCCTGTTCACTCCTGGTCATATGATTATGGACCAGGGCAATCATGTCCAGCCCCAGGCCGATCAGACTCTCCAAGCAGAGAAGGAGTGGGGCAGGAGGTAGGTGAGGAGCTTATGTTGTTTTATAATATAATCTTATATTTGGGGAAAAAAGGCTATAATTTATTATTTATTAGTATGCTATTTTCCTAGGAATATCTTCCTTCCAAAGTATGTCTCAGGTTTATATGAAGATTAGTATATATACTGACTATATACTTGCTGGCTATCCAGGGTAAAAAGTGAGTGCATTCACAAAAGCGTTCCTAGATGATGGAGAAGTCGGTTAGAATGAAAACTTTGTCACAAACAAATCCACAAAGTAAGTGACGTGTGGATACTGACTCTAATCACCTAGTTATGTGATACTATTATTTTCATTCCTGTCCTGACAGAATTCTTCATTTCTGAATGCAACCACTGCATATCTGAATGCAATATATGAATAAAAGAAGTACTCTAAACATTTTATATACTGAGGTTTCCATTAGTAATTTTTTGCATAAACGAATATTTTAGGCAATGAATGTGTTGGTACATATTAAGGAGTTAATTTATCGACTTAATAAAGATCTGACTAGAGAGGCATGAGTGAATTCACGTGAGCTTTGGTAAGAGCTGTTTTCATTTTATTGTAATTAAATGTTTCACAATACTTGAAGAGACACTTGAAGGAAGTTCTGATGTTCATTTACAGGACAATCCTTTTCCTGGGACAACTTGGAAGATTTCATTATAAATCAAAAAATGCAGCACAATCATTCTGACCTTTTCATATTTACTAATCCTTCCAGCTCTTTTGATTTGCTAGCTGCTTTCTTTAAAATTTCTCCAGGAACATCTGCTAGTTTAGCCACATTGAGTCCATAACTCCTTGCTGCAACTCCTCTGGTTATTTGATAAAGAAAAGTGACAAAATCAGGAACCTGGTCTTCTTCACCTAAAAAATAGAGTTAAAAAAGAGAGAGAGAGAGAGAGAGAGAGAGAGAGAGAGAGAGAGAAAGAAAACCATGCTTGAAAGTTGAAAGAAATCAGAGGATTAAAGACAACATACAAATTCTTATAATTTTATTCAATTAAAATTTATAATCTGAAAAAGAAATCCACTGTTCCTAATCCCTTGTTAGCTCCTTTTATCAATACTACATATCTAGAAAAGGGTAAATACTGCTTTGAAAATGCTTTTGCATTTAGAATCTATCTTTCAGCTCAGTTAAAATGGTTTTTAACAATTACTCATTGTAAGCTAAGAAGTATTTAGTTTTACGCTGTTTGCTGAAAAATTTCCACTGACCTTCTATATCAAAAAAGGAGTGATTCTGATACATGGTACAATACAATTTCTCCTTTAAAAATAGATTTCTTTTTAAAAAAGTGTTTTCCAGTGGAAGAATATATTCACCAGTCTTGTAATATACTCTGTGAAGTAACATATATAAAAGATGTTTCTAAGAGTGCTAGAAACAAAACCACAAAAACAGATAAGGAAATATTACATGTTGCACAGTTTAAATAACAAGACCGAGAAATTCTGGCTTATTAAACATCCAAGTTAACTAAGAGCTATACATATTGAAGTGGATGCTGTCTGGTGCCACCCAAATCCCACTCAGGACTGAAGGGTTTACTGCCCCAGCTGTCAGGAAGGCTGTTAAGCCTGCAACCCTCAGCTGTGTGCCCTCTTTGGGAACTTCCTCAGCTGAAGAGAACTCCTTCACCCAAGGTCACGTCCCATCTTGGGCAACCTGCGTCCAGTGACTGGTTGCTATGGGAGTTTGTAGGCAGCCTCTAAGATGGCCACCAAAGTTCCCTGCCTCCTAGTGTTCAAGCCCTTGTGTCACTCCCTCTCCTTGAGTGTGGGCTGGTTCAAAGGACTTGCTTCTAATGAATAGAACATGACAAAAATTATGGCATGTCACTTTTGAGATTACATCATGAAAGACTGTGGCCTGTCTTGGGCACTCTCACTTTCTTTCTGGCTTGTTTGCTCTCAGGGAAGCCAGTGGTCATATTGTGGGCTGCCCTATGGAGGTCCCATAGAAAGAAACTGATGTCTCTGGCCAACAAGTCAGTGAGGGCCTGGAAGCCTACCAACAGCCACGTGAGTGAACTTGGAAGTAACTATTCTGAGGTCTGCCAACAGCATGTGAGTGGGCTGGGAAGTGGACTGCCCCAGTGAAACCCTGAAGCGACTGCTGCCCTGGCCGATACCATGATGCAGCCTGTGAGAGACTGTGAGGCAGAGGTGTTCAGCTGAGCTGCCCCTGGATTCCTGCTCCACAGAAATTGAGATAATAAATATTTGCTGTGCTAAGCTGCTATGTTTTGGGGGGTAATTTATTATGCAACAGTAGATAACTAATAAAAGGTATAAGGCCTGGCTCTCTCACCCGAAGCTGAGGTAACTCTGAAGGACCAACCCTCATTAGAGCTCTCTGCAGGGTGGGCTGAAGCCTTATAACTGTAACCCAGCGTTGATCGTGAGACCGCTCCCCAATAAACTCTGGCATGTAAACCTCAGAATCTGCTTCCTGGGGAAGCAGTCTACCACACAGTACATATACGTGAAGTTAAAACTTTTAAAGAATTGGGATATAATGAAGTGCAATAATACAAAGACAAGACTGTGAAGGGATTCAGAACAAGCCTCCCCAAGATGTGCCACTCTGGCATGCAGACTGTCTGGGGCTGAAGACAGGGGAGGCCCCACAGGCTCAGGAAAGGCTTTTTTAGCCCCCCCTTCAACTGCCTGAAAGAATTTAGATGGAGGTAGGGGGGGCCCTGGCTCAGAGATAGACTGTTACCACAGATAACGTCTATCTGAATGACCTATGTATAGGGCAAGACAAACATCTAATTACCAAATATCTGTTTTTCTTATTTCCCTGTGAATTACCGTCCTCCCCTTTGATGCCCAGTCTCCTATCCCATTCCTTAGCTCAGGATGGCATAGAAGCCTCAACTGCCTGACTTGCCCTCATATTCTTATGAGGGCCCCGTAGGTACATAATTAAATTTGGTTTTCTCCTGTTAATCTGTCTTATGTTAATTTGATTATTAGACCAGCCAAAGAACCAAGAAGGCTAGAGAACAAATTCTTCCCCAACAGCTGCATACAGTTTAATCTCTGAGAAAACCTAAAGCAGCTCGGGATTATGCAGCTTTTATTACAAAATTCAATATAATTGCACGGTATTACAAAAATGTCCAAGATGAACCAGATTCACAATGGTTTCTGAGACCCTAGTATACTTATTATAGGTTTATCAGGAGCTTTTCTCATATATTATTTCATTTGATAAATGTGTATGCTTTATTCTTTTATCCAGCTAAAAGCTAAAAAGCCAAAAGACTGAACACAACGGAGAAGGAGGATAATGGAATTTTCTTTAAAATCTCCTCTAAGAATTCAGCAACAGACAAATAATACCTTTCTAAGGGTGGGTGCTAGAGGTGGGAGGTGAAAAGAATGCTGACACTCTCAGGAATACATAGACTAAAACTCACATTACAAAGCACTAAGAATACCTTTTGCCTCCAAATAAAACTTAAGGAACACAAAGGACAGGTGACAAAGTGGGTGGGAAAAGACTAGGAAAGAAGCATGTAGAAACCAGTACCTGCTAACCTGGATAGTTTTTTGTTACCCTTCAGTGCTCACAAGACCCAGACTGAAGTGAACAGCAGTGGAGTATCAAAAAAGCCAATTCTTTTCATCTCAAAGACAAGTATTGCCTTTATCACTTCAACTGGGTTAGTCCTAACTGATTTCTCCACCTCCAGCCTCTCCTCTATAATCTAGCCTCCACACTGACCTTTCTAAAAAAGAGATTAATTCATCTGTCAGTCCATCTATCCATTCATTATCCACCCATCCATCTATCCACCCATCCACCCATCCATCCATCTATCCACCCCCCCATCCATCCACCCATCCATCCATCCATCCACCCACCCATCCATCCACCCATCCACCCACCCATCCATCCACCCATCCATCCATCCATCCACCCACCCATCCATCCACCCATCCATCTACCCATCCATCCACCCACCCACCCATCCATCCATCCATCCAACCTTTTCTGAAAGCCTACTAAATGCCACAAAACCCCCTCATTTAAACACTGCTTTGCTGATGGCTTTTTCCTTTTTTTTGCTTTACATACATATAAGATGTAGTATATATAATATAACTAGCTAAAAAATGTTTCTTAAATATAGCTATAAAATATAGTTAAATTATATAAAATATGATACTGCTCCCAAAAAACTCATTAACATACCTCAGTACAAACAACTGCTGAATTTGTCATCATATGCTGGTCTCTACTTTAGTACTAATTATGGTAGTTCTTACAGCATCAAGGTAAATAATGTAACCACTCTTCCATAATCACCTGAAGGAGCTATTTTTATAGTTACGTTCTACTTCAAGACTATCTTTCACCACTCTTCCATGGGAGAGAGAGGGAAGGAGAGGGAGAAGAGAGAAAGAGAGAGGGAGGCGTGTGTGCGTGTACAAAGGAAACATGGAGGTGGAGAGAGCCAGGTCGCAGAGCAGATGGTAAAATGACTCATTTCTTTACAGCTTCAAATAAAAGTTCTTAGTGAGGACCCTACTTGTAAGCTATGACCAATTTCTTAAACAGGTATTACTGAAAAGCTTATCTGACACTGCTTAGAGTCAGTGCAAGTAATCATTCAAGTTTCTGTTTGTTACAGGGAAACTTAGCAAAACTGTTTTAAAGCAAAACTCCTCTAGACAGGTATTAAAGAGATGTGTGCTGATCAAATAATTTCTGAAGTCACTTTTAGGATAGATTCATAAAAATGTAGAGATGGATGAGGTTAGGAGACTCTTCCAACATCTTATGGACTGGAAGAGACTAAAACGCAGGTTTCTTACTGCTGGTCCATTGCTTTATCTACCACACCAAAGGAAATAGATAAGCATAGTATCTCGGAAGTCACCCAGAAGGTCGCTGGGGCATTTTACCGATGACCAACCCAACGGCCTCTAATCTAGACAGAAGAGGAATTAGGTCAGAGGTAAAGGATGAAGCATAGATACAGTCAGGGATAATATTGGAAGTGAGCAGGCAATGGAGGAATGCTTCAAGTTTCTGAGTGAAAATTATTTTCAACCTAAAATTCTAGCCCTAGCTAAATTATAAATCAAGTGTGAAGGTATGGAGACATTTTCATTCATGCAAAATCTTAAAAACTTTACCTTCTTTAGTTGATATTATTAGTAGCCTATCCAAAATCTATTCCACCCCTAAGAAAACCCTGATTTATAAAGGAATTAACTCCCTGACCATTTATCTCAGGGAGCAGTGTCCGCATATCCAGCTCCAAATGTTGATCCCAATTAGTCTAGGCTGATCAAAGTTATCCCTTCCATTCTTACTTCTAGGAATTGGTTTAAGAATGATCATGTGATTCAATCCTGAAAATAAGATAGGACACTGATGAGATGCTAGTGCATATCTAAGAGAAGTTCCCTTGCTCCTAAGAAAGAGTCACAGGAAAAGCTGGTCCCTTTTCTTCCTTCCGACATTGTCAATTCTGGATGTGATGCCCGAAAGAGCTGCAGCCATCTTGCTGCTAGTCTGATGATGAAACCAGCAGGGCAGGAAGACAAAGCCTGGAGAACTGCATAGAAGAGGAGCTGAAGCCCACCATTCCTGAAGTTCCTGTAATACGAGATTATATGTATCCTCATCGTCTGAGCTGGTGTGAGCCCAAGTGTTCTGTCACATGCAATCAAATGCACAGAGGAGAGGTTAAGAGACTTCCTAGGATGACAGCAACAGCTGGGCAGCAGGCCTAGGAAACAATCAGTTCAGATGAGCAGGACAAAGGGCTCCAGGAAGAATGAGACCAGTGGGGAAAACTGGAACCAACAGGTTCAGTCATGTGGAAAACTGTCTAGAGAAGTGGTTTGCAAAGCTATTGGAGGATACAGGAATTTTCAACAATAGACTCAAATACAACAATGGAAGAATAAAAACAATTATTACCTTCAAGAAAAACGTTGTACAAGAAAGAAAACGTACTTGACTCATGAGTAAGCAATACCTACTGGCAGTAACAGTGAAAACAATGAATGTGAATGAAACGGAAAAAACGTGAAACTCCTATACCAGGAAGAAGGGGAAGGGAGGGCGGAAGACCCTCATTTAACAGAAGTCAGTAAATATTGTGTCAGGTCGATGAACCAAGAGATAGGAAAATAAGCACAGTACTTAGAACTATGGAAGAAATGGATGAGAGTCAAAAGCAGTTGCCTTGGGACTGGGATGGAGAGGGGCCGTGGAGTAATAAAAGGATGGAAGCAGGGGACCACTGCCTGTTAGCATGAGTCTTTAGCATTACTTAGTTTTTAAAAATTATGCTCATGAATAAAAATCTAAATCAATAAAATAAAATGCCAAAACACTTAAGATGTAAGGGTCTGGGTTAGTAGTCAGTTCACATCAAACACTCACCACTGACCCTTCCCTGCTAGTGAACTCTGTTTTGTTTATCCCATTGGATTTTAGCTTATAAGCTCCTCCTGTCACTTTGGATGCAGATGAATAGATACAAAACTGCTTCTATGAGAGAATTTATGATGTGTTTTTCAAGACCGCATGGTGGTGAAAGGCCAGGACTGCCTAACATTACATTTATCTTAGGTCCAGTGCTTTGTTTTATTTGGGCCAGTTGCCTGATATCTTTTTCAGGTCCATCCTTACTTATTACTTTTCCAAAATAAAATCTGGACTCTGGAGTATCTTTGATAATGGATTTTCCACTGTAGCACACCAACTGCATAAACCATCACTGGCCCACAGCTTAAAAAAAATTATTATTGGGCTTCCCTGGTGGCACAGTGGTTGAGAGTCCGCCTGCCGATGCAGGGGACACGGGTTCGTGCCCCGGTTCCGGGAAGATCCCACATGCCGTGGAGCGGCTGGGCCCGTGAGCCGTGGCCGCTGAGCCTGCGCGTCCGGAGCCTGTGCTCCGCAATGGGAGAGGCCACAGCAGTGAGAGGCCCGCGTACAGAAAAAAAAAAAAAAAAAAATTATTGAACAGGGGGTAAAAAAAAAAAAAAAAAAAAAGCTAAAATCTACTATATTACTTACAGCACTTGAATTTTTTCTATTGGCTAATGATGCTTTTTCAAGAAATGTTTCATTTCTGTGACATGAGTAGTAAGCAGAAGGCTAGGAAAAATACTGTAGCTCCCATATACCGTTTCTAGCAGAGCAGAAGAGAACCTGCAGGCAGAGGACATGGATTCTAGGCTCAGTTCAGCCTCCACCCAGGTGAATGACATGAGGAACCCACTTTACCTGAGATTCACTTTCCTTGTCAAATTAAGATAACATGTATGGCCAGTATAGAGTATTGCTCTTAGTAAGTAATTAATGCTAAATGATATTTTGGGAAATGTACTGAGTATTTTTAACGATAACTAACACACTTGACTGTTAGGGCATCTTTTCTGAGATGGATCTAAGAATAAAACCTAAATGAACCCCTCACCCCACCTTCTTCTTGTAGAAAGATGAGATAAGGAGGGCCAGAGAAGGATTCAGACATGGCGAGGATAAATGCAAATTCTATCTGACCCTAAGCTTAGAGAAAATGAATTTGGACAAATGTCATTTACAATCAACATTCACAGCTTTTATGATTAATAAGCAATAAGTTCATGCTCCTATGAACTTCAAGTTATAAATTATGAAAACCAACAGAATTCTAGTTGTACTTACTGCAAGAACAATTCATACCTGGGTCCTGTTTGCTTTCATCCTCGTTGACCAAGAATCCCATGTGATAATTCCCCACCTGTTGTGAGTAACTTTTTTCTAATTCACAGACTGGTGGATAATGGGTAACAAAGAGGGTTAAGGATTTCACCTAAAGCAGTGAGACACAATGAAAGTTATTTTATTTTTAAATTTTAATTTAAACTTTTCCCCAACTTTATTTTGAAAAATTTCAAACCTTCATAAAAGCTTCAAGCCAAGTACAATGAACACTCATGTATTCTTTATCTAGACAACCATTTGTTAATATTTTGCCATATTTCCTCTTTCTTCCTCCCTTCCCCTCTACACACACACACACTTTTTTCCTGAACCATTTGAGAATTGTATAGACATCATGACACTTGGTCCCTAAATACTTAAGATTCTATCTTCTGAGAACAAAAACATTCTCCTATATAACCAGAATAAAATTATCACACTCAAGAAGTTTAACAATGATACATCACTATTTACTAACATATAGTCCATGAATTTCCCTTACTGTTCCAATAATGTTCTTCAGAAATTTCTTTATATTAAAAAAAAAAAAAATCAAACTCATGTGGTGCACTTAGTCATGCCTCTTTAGTCCCCATTAATCTAGAACAGTTCCCCAGACTTCTCTTTTTTCACTTCTATGTCTTTACAATTTTTGAAGTATCCAGGAGGGCTGTTTTGCATAATCTCCCTCAATTTGGATTTGCCTCATTCAATTCAGATTAAAACTTATTACCAGCAATATTACATATATACGTAGGTGACATAATACCCTTTTCAGTATATCACATCAGGAGGTACATGATGTCAGTCTGATCTATTATTGGGGATGCTAAAGCTGATTATTTGGTTTAAGTGTGTGCCCAAAAGATTCCTTCACTGTACTGACACCTCTCTCTTTTGTAATTAATAAATAACTTGGGGAGTGATACTTTGAAACGGTGCGAATATCATTTTCTCCAACAATCTTTCATCCAAAGGTCTTACTATCTGTTGATCATCATTGCCTGAATCAGTTATTATTCTGGTAGTTAATAAATGTCGATTAAAGAAAAAACAAAGCGTTCTCTATTAGCTGGAATTTTGTCAAGTAGAGCTTTCCCTTCTTCCTCCCTACCCTCACCATTTTAAAATTTATTTTTGTGTTCTTAGTACAGACTTGTGGATTACTTAATTAGCAATGTTTTAAAGCACAGTTATATGTGTTCTAGAAATCTCTATCTTAAGGGAAGTTAACACCAAATCTTGGTCTAAAAATTAGCAGACGAGGGTAATCAAATTGAAGAACCCCAGTTTTCATTCATCTGCCATCCGCCTTATTAAAAGTCAGAACATATACCTTTTCTCTAAAAACAATTACAAATAAACCTATTAAGGCAGAATTTCTTTGACAAGTTGCTCTTAAAATCTGCCCTGAAATATCTTAGGACCAGCTGTCTCCCCAGTGTCCCCTCCCTGAGCTGACGGGCATTTCTAGCTGGAAGACCTAAGGGTTTGGGTTACACCACTGCCCCCCTCAAGGCCATTTCCACCCTGCAGCAGCAACACGTAGCCTCCCTAACTCCTCCTTTTCCTCTCTTCCCCAACCCAGCAATCAAAAGACATCATGAAAAATAAAGATTTTCATCCCTAAACAAGTTAGGGACTCTTGTTCCTGAAGAATCCTCTTCAATGACTTAACTCCAAGGTAAACTTTATCTAAAACTAACACTTTCTTCATCAACATTTAAAATATCCAAAAACTGCTACAGAAGCAATGAAAACATAAGTGACAAATTCAATTCTGTCCTAATTTGTTCCTGAAGGTTCTTAAATGACTCTTTGAAATTGTGACAAACTGCTTTTGGCAGCCAGCCTCCAACGTGGCCCCAGAGATCTTCGCTTCCCAATGCTCATGCTCTTGAGTTGCCTCTTTCACACTGATCAGGGCTGGCCCTGCGTACTCAACAACATGATGGCAAAATAAAATGCACTGCTGCTTCTACCTTGGCCTCTTGGAATGCCTCCTCTGGGGGAAGCCAGATGCCACTCTGTAAGGATACTCAAGCAGCCAGTGGAGAGACCCATAGCGAAATAAATTGAGGGCCCTGGCCAATCGCCAGCACCAACTTGCCAGCCATGTGCGTGAGCCACGTTGGAAGAGGATCCTGTAGCCCTGGGTGACAACTTGACTGCAACCTCAGAAGAGGCCCCGGGCCAAAACCACCCAGCCAGGCTGCTCCCAAATTTCTCACCTCCAGATACTCTGAGAGACAATAAATGATTATTGTTGTTTTAAGCCACCAAGTTTCAGGGTATTTTGTTATGCAGTCATAGTAACTGATACACTGCTATAGAGTAGATACAATTAAAGGAAACTCGAAGTTGACAAATTCAGCTCTGTCATAATTTGTTCCTGAAGGCTCAAAATAAAGGAATGTCTTAATTAATCTAGTTTTTATTAAATGAAAGATTCTTTAAATTCTGTAGTGCTTTACAATTTTCCGAAGTTTCACGCACATGATTTCATATATCCCCATAATAACCCTTTTTCCCCCTTACCCCTAAAAAGCCCCTCCCTGCTTCCTTCTCCCCACTAGTTTGCTCTCTGTATATGTGAGTCTGCTTCTTTTTTTGTTATATTCACTAGTTTGTTGTATTTTTTGATTCCACATAAGTGATATCATACAGTATTTGTCTTCCTCTGTCTGACCTATTTCACTTAGCATAATGCCCATCCATGTTGCTGCAAATGGCAAAATTCCATTTTTTTTTTTACAGCTGAGTAGTATCCTTTTTTTTTTTTAACATCTTTATTGGAGTATAATTGCTTTACAATGCTGTGTTAGTTTCTGCTTTATAACAAAGTGAATCAGCTATACATATACATATATCCCCATATCTCCTCCCTCTTGCATGAGTAGTATTCTTAAATGAATGTTTAAAAAGTGTGTTTTGGAGGCAGATATAGAACTATACTGAACCTGTAGTTTCTACAATGATTAAAGAAAAGTTCCTGAGCTATATCTTTTTGAAAATACAGAATTTCTTTAAAAGTAAAAAGTATTTATTTTAAAACAGAAAATATGTCATCACTATGTAATCTAACTAAACGTTTAAACAAAAAACTGAGGGCCACAAAACTTTAAAGAAAAGGAGATTTTATTTTTGCAAAGAAATACGAGCAAAAATGTGCTTTTATTGGCTATTTAAGGAAGAAAGAAAGAAATGAAAATGGAAGGAAGACACAGAGACAAAGAAAATTGTAAAAAGTAGAGAACAAAATAGAAAAAGAAAAACCAAAGAAGAGACAAGGTTCAGGGGCAGGTGCTAAGGTGAGAGAAAAAAAGGTTCATTTTTGTTCAGAATGAACAAAAACAGAGACAGTTAATAAAGGGGACAGTTTGATGGAGATGACAGGGGTGCAAAGTTTGACACAAACAAAAGGTCACATTCAGATGCTTAGAAACGAACTCTGGGACTTCCCTGGTGGCGCAGTGGTTAAGAATCCACCTGCCAATTCAGGGAACATGGGTTCGATCCCTGGTCGGGAAGATCCCACGTGCCGCGGAGCAACCAAGCCCGTGCACCTCAACTACTGAGCCTGCGCTCCAGAGTCCGCGAGCCACAACTACTGAAGCCCGCGTGCCTAAAGCCTGTGCTCCGCAACAAGAGAAGCCACGGCAATGAGAAGCCCACGCACTGCAACAGAGTAGCCCCCGCTCACCACAACTAGAGAAAGCCCATGCACAGCAACAAAGACCCAATGCAGCCAAAAAAAAAAAAAATGAACTCTAAAAAAAAAAAAAGACACATGCACTGAAGGTGTTACTAAGATAGAGACACTGAAAGATCAGATCAAAGGTCTTATAAGGAGATCTTCTAGGATATTGTTGAAAAAAGTATTTCACAGGGCAAAAATGGCACTATCTCTTATTTGGTTCTTTTCTCAAGGATTGGGTTGCAGGTGGATGGGCCCTGCTCTTGATTTAGTTTGCCAAGGAGAGTAAGATACAGTTCTAGGTGGAAATATTGCCAAGGAGGCCTTTCTCCTACTGACCAGGTTTATTCTGCCTCAGCAAAAGAAAGCAAGACACATCAAAGAACTACAAACGTCACTTAGGGCCAATCTACCTGAGTTCCATGTATAGCATTTGAATGATCAATTGCAGGAACAGGATCAACTGCAGGATAATATTGAATATTTCGAAACTGAGGTCAGGAAAACAATTTGTAGAGTATGCAACATTCCTGTACAAAAAGGTACGCAAGATACTTACATCTCTAATAAAATGCTCAAGTGTAGCATAAGCAATGGCGATTCCATCATGGGTGCTTGTTCCTCTTCCCAATTCATCCAAGATAACCAAAGACTGTGATGTTGCTTTTCTTATTATTTCTGCTGTGTCAGCCAGTTCCTCCATAAATGTACTCTGTCCTTTATATATGTTATCTGCAGCCCCCATCCTACAAACAAGATGACAAAATCCTGATTTTCCTCTGAACTTCATTATTAGGAAGCCAGACATTATTTTCTGAACAATAACTATAAAAGATCCCTACAGGGGCCTATGTACTTTGAGCCAATAACAGCTGAAACTGTATTAAACAAAAGAAAATACGTTGGATATAAAGAGTGTCTAACATCAAATGGCACCTTATAGAAACATTCTGAGTAGAACCTGAGGTACTGGACAGAGCTCTTGAAAAGCAGGGAAACCTCTGACTCGGCCTCTTTCTGACCAGTCATTTCAAATCAAAGTTTTGGTACTCACAGGGGAAAACAACGCTTCTCTGTATCACTGTGTGTAAAATCCATGAGTACTAGGATGCTGTACAATCAAAGGCTTTTTCCAGTATTTCCTGAAGAAGATTCCACACTGATATTACAAATTAAAGTACCATGTTGAAATAGAACTTTTTTTTTTTTTTTTACTAGAACTAGAATTATGGAGGTTTAAATAACCTCAGACACCTAATACAGGTTCCTAAAGTGGACTTCATGCAACAGTGTTCTTAGAGATGTCAAGAAACAGGTTCAGAAGTTGTAAGGGTTCTTTCCTGTAAGACTTCTTAGCTCCTTTAATATTCTACTACATATTGTGCATTTCTTACACCTGATCTAGTACACAGCATTTCTAACTCATTTAACCATGGACCCTTGAAACTTCTCCTGGAGCACCTTCTGACAATAATGGCTTGCAGAACACATTTGGGAGAATGTAAAAAGAAATCTGGGGGGAAAAATTAGGTATTTGTACTCCAGGTCATGCAGTTTGCAGCAAAACCTAGAATTCAGACTCTGACCCACTAGCCAGCTTTGTGGGTGCTGGTGACTATTTTCTCAGCAAAATACCTTCATTAATTTAGTTTTTCTACAACAGTTCACATGTGACCTACAGCAGCATAATATGTCTCTTATTTCTGGAAAAACTCATGGTAAAACCGAGCCTTAACTATCCTGTGGCTGGAGCCACATACTGGGCAGGAGCAGTGGATTATAATGCCCACCTCCTCACTTCCAAAGACTGGTGGCACCTTAGGAGAACTGCTCCAGTAATCAGTGGCATTTAGAAACTGTAATTAACTACATCTATGATGGAGGTGATAGTGCTGTCGATTCTGTCTCCTTTAAAATCGATAAGTACAAAACATAATTTCCGAAACGCTGCTAACTCGGGAGCATTCTGGTTACTTTTTTAAAGTTTAAATCCTGTTATTTACCTCAATTTTCAACATTTACTTTACTAATATGTTCCCTACCACAAAGCAAGAATATTAAACTTTCCTATCCCTGCAACCACTCTGAATTCTTCAGAACCATAATGTTTTATTCTCACTTAACAATGTTTGATTTTATTCCTGACAGGTTGTGAACTGACAAAAAGAACATATCTTTCGTTGATAATAAAATAGCTCTGATAAGGCAAATATGTGTGGGGGGATATCTTTGATTCAAGAGTTAGTAAAAGAAGCAAGCACTGGCTAAGATTTTAATGCAACAGTTTACGTATACTTAAGTGCTTTCTAGAAATACTACGGTAACAGAGTGGTCTCACTGGGAACTGCAGGAATTGTAGAATGCTTTGGGGAAAGATATTCTAAGGTGAGATTTCAAATCAGGAGGGAAGGCTGAATGATCAATCAATTAAAAAAAGATGGTAGCTAACTGGTTCTTTCAGAAAAAAAAAACCCGACAACAAAGATGTGTCCCTACTCACACCATGTTCCAAAATCAATGTATATGAATTTAAAAGTTGAATGTAAAAATAGAAACCATAAACATACCAAGCAATCTAGATGAAATTTAATCTCTACTCTAGACAGGTGGGTGGATGGCTTTATATACATGGCATCAAAACATGGGTGTAGCAAAATTCCATGGTACCAACGTGTCTTACGGTATTACAGGGTTTCTGTCCTTAAGGAGGTCAGGCCAGATTTCAGGGAATCTTGGGTGTATTTTTATTAAACAATGGTCCCCACTCTACTATTAGACCAGTAGTTTTCAAATACCTTTTACCTGTTAAATCCTTTGTTCACGTGAAATTTTACAAAGAAACTCACTTTGCCAATGAGATCAAAGGAACACTGATTTGGTCAAGAACCCAGCACTATGAGGCCTCGCTTCCCCTTCTAGAGGGGGCTCTGTGGGACTCCTAACACCCTATAGAACCGTCTGAAAGCCACTCCATTATAGGAGCCAAAACATTTTTTCACAATTCTATTTTTCCATAGCACCTGATGATAAAGTAGCAATGCTGCCCAGCAGACACTAAAGAAGTGGTGGCGCCTTAACCAGTCACTGAGGCCACTGGGGAAGTATGTGTTTGTAACTGTGGGAACTGTTTATTGATAAAAATATTTTCTGTTAACTTCTCTTAAGAAATTTCCTTTAAGGAATTCCTCTTCTTAAATTTATTTTTCCAATAAATTTCAGCAATATAAGGATTTTACATGATTCTGATGGACACAGAATTTTATCAATAAATCCATTTTCCTTTTGGTCTTGGTTACTAGGAAACAACTGGATAGCACCTTATAATGACAAATAGCAACACTGACTTTATCTTAGGTTTCTATCCTTACTTGTCCTTGATCTTTGAATGCCATTTGACTTTCTTATTGTCCTGCTCTATTGTATATATCCCAGTAAACTGTCTAAAATAAGTTTTGGAAATAAGGCAGGGTATAACACCCTTAACAAAAGGTCTGTAGTTTTCTATTAACCCAACAAGCATTCACAACACATCCTGCTGGACAATGATTCTGAAATTTTTCAAACGTTAAAATATGTTAGAGATTTAAGGAATTCAGAACATATGTCATTATTATCATTCTGCCTGTATTTGTATTCAAACGCAGGGAAAAACGGAAAATGCATTCTTTAGGTTCCATCTCAGAGTAAGTTTGCTCTGACAGGTTACAGATACGTGATTAAGAAAAAAAAAAATCACTCTGATATTTTTAGGAGTGGCGGCTGACTAATCTTTCTAATCCCCTACTCCCTCCTCCTCTAACCCTTATATAGGTCAACAAAGCTTAATAAAGCATTAATGGAGAAAAGAAATTACTACTTTTTGGAATCAGTTTCTAAAATCAAGAATACTTTCATGAAAATTTGAACAAGGGTTTGTTTTTATGAGGTCTTGATATTTTGAGATAACATTCTAGATGTTTCTAAATTATAGCAAATAGGGTGGGGGCTCTGTCCCTTCAAACCACAATCTTTGGGCCTTATGAAAGGAAAATGCTAGCATGAGGGAGAAATTCTGAAATTAACAGGTGGAAAAAAGGATTCTTTATATTGAATGATAAGTAATTGGAGCTTAAATATGAAAACTGTTAACTAGAGGAAATGATTATTGTACTGCATCACTTTAAGTGCTTTTAAAATAATATATAAGTACATATATTTTATATATATATAACTAAAATTTACCATTTTAAAAAAATATTTATTTATTTATTTTTGGCTGTGTTGGGTCTTCATAGCTGTGCTTTCTCTAGTTGTGGCGAGCTGGGGCTACTCTTCGTTGCGGTGCGCAGGCTTCTCCTTGTGGTGGCTTCTCTTGTTGTGGAGCACAGGCTCTGGGCACACGGGCTTCAGTAGTTGTGGCACGCAGGCTCAGTAGTTGTGGCTCTCGGGCTCTAGAGTGCAGGCTCAGTAGTTGTGGCACACGTAAAATTTACCATTTTAACACTTTTTAGGTGTATAATTCAGTGGTATTAAGCACATTCACAATGTTGTGCAGTCATCACTACTATCCATTAGCAGAACTTTTTCATAATCTCAGAATAGCCCATCAAAAAATAACTCCCTGTTCTTCTCTCCCCTCAGCCTCTACCTCTATGAATCTGCCTCTTCTAGTTCCTCAGATAAGTGAAATCATACTCTATTTGTCCTCTAAGTGTTTTGTATAGGAGGGCTTTTATACTAGCTAATTTTGCCTTCTTTTTGGAATTGAAGATGTTCTACTCACTTCATTTCGCTAAAAACTTTGCAGAATTCTGTACAGTATGGGTGTTTTAGCTTGGTTTTTTTTTTTTTTTTGCATATTATGTAATTTTTACAGAAGGAAATAATCTCCTGAACAGCAAAGTACTCTAACTTAAGAAGGATGGCGTAAGGAAGAAAAATAAAGTTAAAGTCTAAGAGGAGAAAAAAGGCTTCAAAAGAACACCAAATATCGACAGATGTGTAGATACAGCATATGGTATTTAAAAGGTATAAAAAAATGTGAAGTAGTAGATCTGTATCACATTTACACATAAACATTAACCCAGCAAGGGAATGAAATCACAAATAATCTACCATTACACGTGTGCATTTTTTAAAAGCCTGGAAGGCCATACACCTAAAGGACGATTTCCAGGTAGTGGAATTACAGGTGATTAAAACTTTTTTCCTTTTTGAGCTTTTCTATAGTTTTAAATTTTGCACAATGAACAAGCTTTACAGTATCATTAGAAAAACAAATGTTATTTTAAAAATCATAGTACATTTCAAACACTTTATACTCTATTGATACATTTAAAGCACTTTATACTCTACTGTACCACTGTGTTAAGACAAGGCAAAATGATTGCAATTACCAAGATAAATAACCAGCTTTCTTCTACCAATATCAAAAACACCTCATTAGCAGCAATGAAATTATTATAATAGATAATGAAAAAGGTTTCTTTATCTAGGGTAATTGTTTCTACTAACAGCTGCAATCAGATCACACTATGGTATTTAAAGTCAATTTATAACAGCTATTACAGTGAACTGCAAATATAACCAAGCAAAAAAACACTACAACAATCTTTCAGTGTCAATGGAAACATAGCTGAAAATCAAGGCAGCAATCCAGGAAAATGCCAAACTTGTATTGGCTCACATGAAACCATGTTCACTAGAACCACCTACAAAGCACATGCAGGCCACATAAGGACACAGGTGTTTTCCTATCAAAGGAAAC